TCCCAACACTACATCGGTATCCTTAAGTGGTAAGGCGTAGAGGTCAATCTCCAACTCTTGGTCCTGCGCCATAATTGGAACCTTCTTGAATAGCTGATTACCTCGTAGTTCCTGTCCATTGACCACTTTGGCACCAAACATCTTGACTTTTGTGGGCACCAACTTCAATCTTCTGGCTATCTCCTCATCAATAAAATTCAGACTTGACCCACTATCAACGAGTACTTTCAACAACATATCCTTTATCTCAGCGGTAAACCTGATCATCTTTGGACCTCGTTTCTTGCACTTGACCACATGCAGCAAGGTCTCCTCAAGTGGTTCACTATTATGATCCTCCTCAAACTCTAATAAATATACTTGTTTACCTGTGCATTTGTGGCCTGGTGTAAATCGTTCGTTGCATGTGAAACACAAGCCCTTTGCTCTTCGCTGCTGGATCTCATCCTCCGTTAACCGTCGCATGTTGCTCATGGTGCGCGTTCCCTCGCCAAACGTCGACTTGTTTTCGGCCCGTGGAGGCGCCTCCTCGGTTGCAGCACTCGCGCGCCTTGGCTCCGTGCACGATTCGCTCGGCCTCGCCTTGCTCACCGCCATGAGGTGATCCTCGTGTAGGCGCGCTGACTCCATCGCGTCCCTCGTCGATCTCGGCCTGTCTAAGCGCACCTCAGCTGCCATCTCGGCCTTCAAGCCTCCAACAAACGCTCCAACAAGTGCATTCTCGGGCTAATCACGTACCCGACTAGAAATTCTCTCAAACTCCTTTTGATAGTCACGTAGACTACCAGTATGACGATCCTTGACAAAGCCTCATCGTAATCGAAATAATAGCTAGACCCAAACCTGGTAATCAACTCCTTCTCAAAATCTCTCCATCGCATGTGCTCATCATTGTTCTTGTGTAGCATCCACTGCCACCAAACATTAGCCTCACCATCCAGATGATAGGCGGCTATCTTGACTCTTTCGCTCCTATGGACGCTGTTGATCTCGAAAAATTGTGTGTCACGACTTAACCATGCGTCTGGATCTACTCCTTTGAATGTTGGCAATGTGAGATTTGGCCTTGCATGTGCGTGTTCCCCGCGGTGCTGCCGGTGGTCGCTCCGTCGCTGATCGCCGTGGCGTCGGGTTGTGCGCGTTGCGCGCGTCGCCCGCGAGCGCTCGTCGTAGTCATCGTGACTCGACATCGAGCTGCTCGACCCGCCGTGGTCGACCATGGTGTGCGGCTGGTCCGCGGCTTGCGGTTGACTCGCTCGTGCTTCTCCGCCAAGTCGTGGATCATGAGCTCCAACTTCGCCATATTCTCGTTGACCACGTGTTGTCCGTTGCCAAGGGACCTCACGCTTTCTTCCAACATATCGAACCTCTCACGGTTTGTCATAGCTCTCTCTTTTTTTTTTTTTT